AAATCAGTTAAAATAAAATAAAAAAATCAGATCATATCCTTTTTTTCTCCAACGTTTCTCTCTCTTAATTCTTCAGCCTAAAAAATTAGCAGAATCGAGTAATTGAAGGTTTTTTCATTGAAAAAAATTGATTTTATTGAGATGGACAATTACGTATCAATTCTAATTAAACATGGTGGAAGATGGGATCCTTCGGGTTAGTATTTATTATTGTTTAGTGTTTATTTTTAAATTATATTGAAATGAAAAAAAATCTATTAAACTGTAAATCGTCTCTATGTTTAAGATGATATCATTACTTGTTAACTGTTGTGAAATGTATAATATTAGTGATTTTTTGTTTTTGTGTATTTTTTTTTCTTTAAGTATAAAGTAATTGTATATTTATGAATGAATTTAATAGAATTATTGGAAAGAAATTTGTAAGAAAATGTGTTTCGTAAGGTGTAAAAAAAGTTATTTGGATTTTTGACGAATTGTATAACAAGTGTTTTAAGTTGGTATTAAATTATAAATTTTAGTGTGTTATATTAGATGTTGTCATTTCTGAAGTAATTAGTGAGTTAGAAATGAATTATTTGGTACGATAAGATATAGATAATGTATGATTATTTGTTGTATGAAATGTGTATTAAGTGAGTTTGAAAGTTGTTATGAAATAAGCTGTCTTAATGATATATATATGTATGAAATGTTTATTAAGAAAGTATGAGATTTGTATGAAAGCGTGTCCAGTAATCTAAAAAAAAAGTTATTTGAAATTTTGACGAATTGTATGATAAGTGTTTTAAGGTTGTATTAATTTTGAAATTTTATTGTTGACATTTTTGTATAAATTTGTGTGACATTAATGAAGTATTTTCGTAAAAAAAAAGTACATATTTGTTGTATGAAAGTTGTATTAAAATAGTATGAAAGTGTTTGGAATGTACTATTTGAATGATATTTGTATGAAATGTTTTTTGATTGAATATAAAAATTGTTTTGTAATGTTCTGTCTGTCTGAATGATATTTGTATTTCGAATTGTTTGTTTATAATGTGAGACTAATTTGTATTTTTTTTTAATGAAACCGGATATTATGTCGATTTTCAAATGGAGGAGGTTATATACGATTCTTCTAGTCTTTATCATTCAGTTATCATACAGAATTCATACTTTTATAAATTTAGTGCTTGGAACAATTTTTAGTAACAACTGTATGAATTTTGTGTTCTTAATGAATGAATCGTGTATAAATTAAGACAAATGTGACACAACTTGCATATCGTTAATGATAAAATTTGTTCCATATTAAAGATATTGTATGTATTAGTGACTAATTTAAGTTGTTGTCGGACATATATAAATATATCTAATTCAAACGAAAATAAGACAAAATACAACTATAAAAATTATACCATGACTAAATACAAATATCCAACATTTAATATTGAAGTCATAGACATATGCATATAAAATGTATTTCATACACGTTTTATCTATTCGTTATACAAATTAAAAACACAGTGCTACTTTAAAAAATAGTGTATCAGAACTGTATGAAGTCAGTATGATGTTTTTGTCCTGAACTTATAATATCCAAACATTATAGGTTAGTGCATGCCAATCACCATGTGTATAATTAAAAACACAGTGTTAAAATTTTTAGAACATCCAAAAGAGAATCAAAAGGTGCAAACAACTATTTTGATAACATATTGTAGTATATATCATCAAATACTTAAACCAACAAGAATCATCCAAAAGTTAAAACAGAAAAAAATTATCCAAAAGTTTTAAAAAATAATATGTAGTTCTTAAAAAGTAGAAGGTGCAATCAACTATTTCAACTTTCTAGTCGGTGGTATTGTTGTAGGATAATTGGTGTTATCTGGAACATGTTCTTTTGCTATCCGAGGTCCACCAAATTTGCTAACAACCGTACCAATAACTTCACTTTCACTGATCGCGCCATCTTCATTCTTTGTTTTTCCATAATGCCACAGGATTATTGAAATCTCTCTTGCCCAAGAAAAGTCAAAAGATCAGCAAACACATTCATGTTGGTACATGAAAACCAGTGTGTGTGTCTCTTCCTTTCCTATAAAATAAAATTGTGTATACTACATTAAAAGATACTTCATACACATATTATTCAGTTTCATATAGAAATATCATTTTCATACACATATTATTCAGTTACAATACACAAATCATACATAACTTAATAGTTTCACATTTCATACACACTTCACACACATATAATTCAATTTTCATTCCAACAATAACCATTGTTTACATTTCACACACACTTCATATACAGTGTGTATAAAGAAATGACATAAATTATATTCACAATTCACACACACAACATACACATATTATTCACACACACTGTATACATAATTTTCTTTTCAGCAGTAACCATAGTTCACATTTCACACACATTTCATACACAATATTTATAAAAAATATGGCATACATTATATTCACATTTCACACACACTGCATACACATAGTATTCACACACACTCCATACATATATTATTCACACACACCCTATACATCTATTATTCACACACACTCCATACACTTATTATTCAAAAAATTCCAGGAGTATCTATACAATACAGAGTAGTTAAATAAGATCATAAAATTTGAAAACAAAATTAATAATTCATATGCATATCAATGCTGTATCATAATTCATACAATATACATCATTTAAAATTTATAATCAAATGCATAAACATTTTATTCAGATTTGGAACAAATTTCAGAAAAACAAAAATTTGAAAAACAACAATAATAATAATGTGATATAAAAAAATAACTATTTTGAGTAATGTGAAAAATAAATTAAATAAATTACTTACCTTAACCACTTTTTTGGGCTTTTTGGATTTTGGTAATTTCGGTTCATCCTTTTTTGTTTTTTCTTCTTGTATAAGGTTTTGATGTTTCAGTGACTTCAACCTTTGTTGCTTTTTTTCTTTTTTTCTTTTTTGTTTGACCAATAAAATTTGAATCTGAGTCAGAATCAGACTCTGGAGGGCTTTCAACAAGTTTTTTCCCCTTCCTCTTCTTCCCCCTTTGATTTGCCGTAGTCACACTTTAGTTTGCTTCATTATTTTTATCTTTTTGATTCTTCGAACGAGATGGACCACCAGTGGTTAGAATTTGAACAGTTTTAGACGGGGTGTTTGAGATAATATATTAAACTATGGAGCATGAGCATCATCAGTTGAATTTCCATCAAATATGGGGCTCTTTCGTGGAGTTTCAATTTGTTTCTTAGACATGATGATGAATAATCGTGGGTAAGATGGGTAATCGATTTTGATGTTGGACTAGATGAGAAAGAATGGAGAAAGTTTGATAGTGGGTTGTGGGTTGAGTCGTGTGGGAGTGAAGAAATGTGTGGGATGGTGGTGTGATCGATGATTGGGGATGGTAACGGTAAACAAGGAAAGGAAATTCCTAAAATTGGGTAACTGGAAATTTTAGTTTTTTTTAAAAAGGAAGTAAAATCAAATTAATTATCTATTATTAATTAATAATAAAAAACTATAAATAGATTAATAATTTATTAAATAAATATAATTTAAGTAGGTTTAAAACCCGTAATATTTACTCTTAAATGTGTATATGGGGTGATTTTTCCTTTTTATTATTGGTGTAATGATATTTCTCAAATAGTAATTGTAATACTTTTTTTCTTCATTATTGGTGATCAGTACCTTTCCCAAATATAAATAATAATATATATTTTTTATATATATATTATAGGTTATTTAATAAAATTTATTTGTAAAATAATTGGAAGTTTTACTTTATTTTTTTTAGTAATAAAATTATAAAATTGAATATACATGATATTATGCCCCGTAGATTCACAAAACTTACGCCTTGTGTCTCAGAGCTTACGTCTCGCCTCACACCCCCACCTTTTAAAATAGTGGTATATATATCCGTGTGTATATTTTGGTTAAATAGAAATACTGAAAATACGTAAACACATATCAAAAATCGAATCGAAATATCAAAAATAAGAAAACATATACTGAAAACCGAAATATGAAAAAAATTTGATTCCATATTTCGATTTTTCGGTACTTATGCCTAGCCCTAATAAACAAATTCCTTTAGTCTAAGAAATGGTGCAAATATATAAGTATTTGAATTAAAAAATAATAATATTTATTTGTCTTTTTAAATTAAGAAAAGTCACATCATTTTTTAAAACTGGTTTGTTAATTTTTAAGTTTTAACAAAAAAAAGCCCAAAATAGTCCATTATTTTTAGGTTAAGACTCAAAGTTATCCTTGAGTTTTTACATGGAACATTAATAGTCCCTCATGTTTGCAATATTGGTGCACTTTTGGTCCTCCTTCAAAATTTTGCCTATTTTTTAACATTGATTTTATTCATAATTTATGTATAAAATGTTTAATCGTCATTTTATATATTTAGTAGAAATAATTACTTCATGTGAAAGATTGTGAGAAGAAAAACACCTTATTTTGTTTAGTAAAATCGTATTGCAGGTAAGGTCGAGAGGTTCATCACGACGATTTCATGTACAATAGTATGTATTTTCCTTTTCTTGCAATGTCATATGTTAGTTTAGCTGCAGTAATATTTATACTGAACAGAATAATGCGTTCTTCTTCTCACCTTCTCCCACACAGAGTTATTATTTCTACTAAATATATAAAAAGACGATGGGATATTCCTTACATAAAATTATGAACAAAATTAATATAAAAAAATAGGCAAAAGTTTAGGGGAGGACCAAAAGTGCATCAATATTGCAAACATGAGGATTATTAGTGCTTCATGTGAAAAAACTCAAGGATGACTTTGAGTCTTAATCCAAAGATAATGGACTATTTTGGGCCTTCTCTCAGTTTTTGACGCATTACTCTGCTTTCCATTGACGTGTTGCTTTGTTTTCCTTTAAATAGATAGATTCATTGTTGTGGAGCTTAGTCTCTTTTCTTTCTTCTCGGCACACAATGGAGAAGAAGATGAAGGGCAACATGCTAAATTACAAGAAGAAAAAAGAAACTATCGAGAAAAAAACTAGAGAGCTTTCAATCCTCTGTGACATTAAAGCTTGTGTCATTCTTGTTGATCCTAATGGAGAAGTCGATACATGGCCTGAAAATCCCATTGATTTCAACCCCATTATTCAATCCTATAAAGAAAATCTCAATCACGGCAAGAGAAAACGAATTGATGATGATGGGTGTTTCAACAAAAATCAAAAAAGAATCATGCTCTGTTTTGCGATGATGGTGAAGATCAGTGGCTTAATGACGTGTTTAGAGAGGCGAACGAAAGTTTGTTGGTGAAATTGAATTCCAAATTAGAGGTTGTGGAGAAAAGAATTGAATTCTTGAAGATGGTGTATGGGAATGGGGTTTTTGAAGGATCAACTTATAGTGAGAAAGAAACAATGACGGCTCAACTTCAGTGGCTTTAGCCCCCCAAAAAAATAAGGGCCTCCAAAGAACCAAAAAAACCAAATTCAGTTCGCTCAAATTTAGATGGGAGTTGTGAATGATGAACAAGGGCAAATAACAGGTCATTCTAATGTATTATATTGATGAGCTTATCATCTGTAGTTAGGGCATTTTTTTTCCTTAGTTACATGACTTTTTGACTTAGCTCTGTTAGGATTTTATCAAAGCATTTGTCTGTTCAAAACGTCATACTATTTCCTCTCTCCTATTTTTGATTAGTTTAAAGTAGGTATGACAAAGGATGATTCAGGATTTAAAATTTATAAATTGCTATAGCAATTCCAACTTAATAAATGTATGATTATAATTTGGTTTATGGTCACATGTTTTGTGTACATTTAATGGAATTGTTAATAAAAATTGTTGCCGCAAACTCATAATCTTAGGGTGTGTTTGGTATGAAGGAAAATTGAAAATGTTTTCTAATTTTCTCATGTTTGGTTGACTTAAATGTTTTGGAAAATGTTTTCCAAATCAACTCATGTTCCTCAAATTTAAGGAAAATCATTTCCCTTCAAAACTTAAGAAAAACATTTTCCAAAATTCTCTTCCAACTTCAAATTACAATTTTTTTTGTTGAAAAAATCAATTTATTTTGTCCCTACCCTCAAACCAGCCCCGCAATGCCCCCTCCCCCTCCCCCCCCCCAAAAAAAAAAAAAACAATTTAAAGTTTATTTTAAAAAAATATTTTTAACTTCAATTTTTTTTACCCCACCCTCACCCTACCTCCAACCCTCTACCACCACCCCAAAAAAAATATTAAGAGTTATTTATAAAAGATATTTCTAATTTCAATTTTTTATTTTTTTACCCCCACCCCCTTCAAAAAAAAAATTAAGTTTATTTTTAAAAGATATTTTTTCAAAATTTTATTTTTTCACCCCGATCCTCGACCCCTCACCCAGGCCAGCCCACCCCCCCTCCACAAAAAAAATTTGAGTTTGTTTTTAAAAAATATTTTCAACTTCAAAATTTTATTTTTTCACCCCGTTCCTCAATCCCCCCCACCCCCGAAAAAAAATTGAGTTTATTTTTAAACCCCCCCCCCCCCCACCCAAAAAATAAATAAATTTAAGTTTGTTTTTAAAAGATATTTTCAACTTCAAAATTTTATTTTTTCACCCCTACCCTCGAACCCGCGCACGCGTGCCCCTACCATCCCCCATCCCCAACCCCCCACCCCCCAAAAAAAATTAAGTTTATTTTTAAAATATATTTTCATTTTCAAAAATTATTTTCTACTCTAGTATAAATAAAAGATACTTCTCAAAAACATTTTTCATTCATAAATCAAATACTAAAAATCTTTTCCGAAAAATATTTTCTACTCACCAACCAAACATAAGAAATAAGTCAAAAATCTCCTTGTTTTTCACGAAAACATTTTCCATAAAAAACATTTTCCTTCATACCAAACACACCCTTAATTGTTGCTTCGCAAATTGGTGTTGAACAAGAAGTTAACTTTAACTTTAGCAAAATCAATTTGTTTTAAGATGTGTAAATATAGCCTGATTACAGAACTATTTATGATTTGGTGCCAAAAATATGTTCACTTTACGACTTAGGCTTTCCTATTAATATATATAGGTATTCCCCTAGGAAACCGCCACTCACGAAACCTCTTTACATTGCTGTACTTGAATTATCACATTATAACAAGTTTTTGTATGATCTATTCAAGCTATGAAGTACGTGCAATCTTTTAGCGATTTTTCTTATTTAGATTTTATTTCATGAAAATGGAGATAAGATGGAACCTGGACAGTAGGAGTGCCTGAAGATTATCCCTGCTGTTTAAAAAAAATCACTTCATGCATATGAATAAAAGTTGGGTGCTTCACCAACAAGGGTTGTGGTGGACTTGGAGTGGTAAGTACTTCTTCATCCTTAACCAAGAGGTTTCGGGTTTGAGCCCTTTGGGTACAGAGTCACTTTTGTTAGGGAGCGCTTTACCCCCCAATGTGGTACTTTCCGGCGCGAATCCAAAGTTAGTCGGGCTCCAATATGGGTACCAGACACCGAATGGGAAACCAAAAATAAAAGTTGGGTGCTTCAAAATGGTGATGAGTCATTTACAGATACATAGAATATTTTTGATTTATTTTCCGTATGGTGACATCTGGAGGATTCAATTTAGTTTGCATTTGAAAAAAGTAAGAATAACGATAAAATTGACTCGTAGAATCAACCACTAATTCAAACTCCAAAGTAGCCTATGTTGAAAGACACTTTGAATTTTTTTGATTAACTACTAATAATAATTTTCTTATTGTAATCATATCCAGAAATGACTGATTTTGTGAGGTCAAGGCTACACAAATGGGCAGGAGATCAAGAAATTTTAAGAAAGATGAACCCTATATTGAATTTATTACATCTCCAAATAATCGTGATTGGGTTATTTGGAGATGTATTAAACTCAATATAAAGTCCATTTTTCTCAAAATTTCTTGCATCCTTTGCCCGTTTGTGTCGCTTTGACCTCACAAAATTAGCCACTTCTGGATATGACTACAACAAGACAATTATTATTAGTGATTAATCAAGAAATGTCACTTTAAAATTAGACTAATTAAGTCACATGTAAAATGTGTTCTAAGAATTATGGTTCATGTTGCACTCAAAATGTGGTCTAGTACTCATCGATTTTATTGAGTTACTCTTGAAATTAGCTCAATAAAACATATATATTAAGAAATGTATTATTTGTAAATGTGTACACACAAAATATGAACTATCAAATTAGTAATCCAACAAAGAATTTGAGCATCTACAAATTGCAAAGAAAATGGACTTGAGCGTGTTTTTTAATTCAACTCGTGCATCGATAAAATCAGTGATTTCATATTTTAAAAATTGAGCTTAGATTCTAAAACTAACTCATAAGAAAGAAAAGGTTGACCAAGATCATAAGCGTATAACCTATATTAAATATTCTAACAAAAAAATAAAGTAAAATAATAAAAGAATACTTACCGATCTAGACTGGTATCAATGAGAGTGTCCCTAGTGCTATTTCCTAGAGTTGCACAAGAATATGAAAAACACTTGATAAGGCAACCTCTATTTCACACTTTTTTTTCTTTCTAAAACTTTAATATTACTAGAAAATAAGCTAACGGAGAAGAAGACAAATTTGTGATATTTCATGTCTTGTATGCTGCTGTTTATTTATAGGTAAGGAGAGACAAATCCTAATGTAGAGATGAAATAATATTTGTGATAAATAGATTGGTCAAAGATTTACTAAGTCTAGTTTTTTTATTCTTTATGAAAAAAAACAAAACCAAAGATAGAAATGGAAAAAAAAATTAAAGAAAAAAAGAAGTTATATATAGACAACACTTGTAAATATATTCCTCAACTGTAAGGGAATATACCTTTTGATCAAAAAGTGGAATAAATTATTCCTCAACTTTAATGGAATCTACCTTATGTTCAAAAAATGGGATAAACAATTAGGGCTAGGCATTGGTAATTTGGTTCGGTTTGGGTTCTTTTAATTTGATTTTTTCCGTTTTTGGTTATTGAACTTGTTGTATCGAATACCGAATTGAATTAATTCGATTTGGTTTATTAAATTCGATTTTACACACTTAATTTGTTCATTGAAAATTAGACAAAAAAAAAAAGAAAATGGAAGAAGAAAAACAGAAAATAATCAAAAAAACAATCGAATACATGGAACTAGAAGTTGAAAACTTGAAATCGTAGCAGCTGCAATCGCTGGTCGCTAATTGCTTCCCTGGTCACGACAATGGTTGAGGCTAACTTGGAAAATTGGAATTGGAATTTGAATTTGGAAGTGAAGCAGAAGCCAGAAGGTGCGGCGGAAATTGGAAAAACAAAAATGAAAAGTTGAAAATCTAATGCTAATTACTAACTTGCTATTTGCTAAGGGCGAAAAAGGAAATAAAACTTTAAAGGCAAATTGATATAACATTTATATAATATTAATAATTACCCAATATGTAATATAGTATATACTATATATATTAGTGTGTATATTTCAGTTAAACAGAAATATCGAAAATACAAAAACATATCAAAAATCGAATCGAAATATCGAAAATACGAAAACACATACTAAAAACCGAACTATAAAAAAAAATCGATTCGATTAGATATTTCAATTTTTCGGTACTTGTGCCTACCCCTAATAAACATACTCCTTTAGTCTATGAAATGGTGCAAACATATATGTATTTGAATTAAAAAAATATTTATTTGTATTTTTAAATAGGAAAAAGGTCTGAAAAATACTTTAACTTTGGCCAAAATTGTTGTTACGATACCAAACTTTATGGAGGACCTTTTACCCCCGTGCACTATTTAATAGTTTATTTTAAAGGTATATATGTATCCACGTGGACACATTATTATTTAAAATGATGCAATATTTATGATGTCCACATAGACACATATATACCTTTAAAATACACCATTAAATAGTACATGGGGGTAAAAGGTCCTTTTTGAAGTTTGGTATCGCAACAACAATTTCGGCCAAAATTGGAGTATTTTTCAGACCCTTATCCCTTTTTAAATTAAGAAAAACCACATCATTTTTTAAAGAGGAACTTTCGCAAACATCCACTATAATAATCTTAATTATGCTCCATAGTTATAGTTTACATATTTACGGGTTGTAGTTACAGTTTAAGTTGTCTCGTTTGTATAATTTGCTGTTACATTGGTATAATTCAGTTATTTTTGTATAAACTCGAAATAACGAATTTATACAATTACAAACATCAGAAGTGTAAACAGTTATACAAATTATATTATACAAATTTCGAATTATACAAAAGTTATACGGAAAATGTACAAGTACCCCCTAGACTATGATCGAAATCCTAGAGACACACCTTAACTAAACTAAGGTCCTATTACCTCCCTGAACCCATTTTTTTTGTAATTTTGTGCACCTTTTTAGCTTACGTGACATCCAAATA